GGCTAATTTTTTGTATTTTTTAGTAGAGACGGGGTTTCACCGTGTTAGCCAGCATGGTCTCGATCTCCTGACCTCGTGATCTCGGCCTCCCAAAGTGCTGGGATTACAGGCTTGAGCCACCGCGCCCGGTTCGGGCTAATTTTTTGTATCTTTAGTAGAGACGGGGTTTCACCATGTTGGCCAGGCTGGTCTCCAACTCCTGACCTCGTGATCCGCCCACCTTGGCCTCCCAAAGTGCTGGGATTACAGGCGTGAGCCACCGCGCCCGGCCTAAAATATTTTAAAATATTTTTAATGCAAAATGTAGCTGGTGGGAAGGTAAGGGAACTCGTGGAGTCCAGAAATCTTACAGAAATATAAATCCAGAGGTGTTTGGTGTTGGAGTTGGTACTTGCTGTGAGGAAATCTGCTAATTTTGATGACGAGAACCTGCATGACTCAAAATGTGAAGGGAAAAGACAGAACCCAAGGCCCAAGCAGGATGAGATGCCAGAGTGGAGACCACGTGGATGCCGGGAACCCCAGGAGGCAGTACCCTCCAGTGGGTAGGATGGGAAAAAATGCCCCTCACAGAGGTAGGCGGTTGGGGTGATTAGCTATCTTCACCTTGTTAGTGAGCAAATGATTGAAAGAAAGCCTTCTGGGCCGTGCGCGGTGGCTCAAGCCTGTAATCCCAGCACTTTGGGAGGCCGAGGTGGGTGGATCACGAGGTCAGGAGGTCGAGACCATCCTGGCTAACACGGTGAAACGCCATCTCTACTAAAAATACAAAAAAATTAGCTGGGCGTGGTGGTGGGCGCCTGTAGTCCCAGCTACTCGGGAGGCTGAGGCAGGAGAATGGCGGGAACCCGGGAGGCGGAGCTTGCAGTGAGCCAAGATCGCCCCACTGCACTCCAGCCTGAGCGACAGAGGGAGACTCCGCCTCAAAAAAAAAAAAAAAAAAGAGAAAGCCTTCTGTTAATAAGCCTGCACTCACAAATTTGGGACCTAAATTCCCGCCATCTGACAAGTCCAACATTTCATCTAAATTAATGTCTGGTTAGGAATGTTCCCAAGTACATGTTAACATTAAACAGAAGTCAACTAAGATGCTAAAGCATTTCCCAAGTAGTTCCCAAAGATAACGTTTTGAGGAACATGAGTTAGCCATGAAAAGGAGCGGGACATGGTGGCTCACACCTGTAATCCCAGCACTTAGAGAGGCAGAGGCGGGAGGATGGCTTGAGGCCAGGAGTTCAAGACCGGCCTGGGCAACA